TATCCATTGTTGCAGGCATTTTATTAAAAATATTGCACTGCAATATTTTTAATTTATTACTTATTTAAGTTATTATTTTATTAAACATATTGCAGTGCAATATTTGTAATTACTTATTTAAAATATTTTTTTATTACAAATAAAATAATAATTTAAATAAATAATAAATGAAATGCGTAGAATAGCTTGAGAATAAGCAGAGAAAAGAAATACATTTTAAGTAAAGAACAAGTGGTCTTGCGGACTGAGTGCAGAGGCTGCAAATATGGAGGTCTCGAGTTCAAATCTCACCATCACCTCAGGATTTTTTTCGGACCTAATACCTTTCACTGAGTTAATTAATTGATCGACAAACTGAATCTCAGGACTCCATAGAGATTAATACGAGTGAAATCTCAAATTAATTCTCCTCTTACGATGTACTATTAGTTCTTTTTACATATCATTGTAATATTACTATGATGCATTTTGGCGGACATTTTAATATTATTGCGATACATTACATTAACATTACGGTAATATTTCTATTATATTAGAGTGTAATATTGCAATATAGAAAAGCAATATTGTGTGTGATATTGCAGTAATATTACGTGTTATGTGGGATGTCACGTTAATCACGTTACGTCAGATTAATGACGTAAGTAAACGTCATTAACCTGTCGTCATTTTTGACGAGACAAACTCACGTTGTCATTACGTTAATATCACGTCATAAACTAACGTCGAACTGGTCAAAAACTGACTTTATATTAACGTCATTATAACGTCAGCTGGTTGCCTGGGGAGCTAAGTACTTTTAGCGTAAACACGTTCTTTTAGATAAACCATGGTTTATTAGAGTAAAGAAAAAGAAAGTTCTACCTCGCCCCTTAGTTACACTAGTGTCCAGAATACATTTGTATCATACAACAGTCAATGCTCATTTAAAGGAAAAAAAGGCTTACTGGCCTTTTCGAAATGCTCGTGCGGGCACCCGACACAAGATATCAATTACGTGTTTTTTCATTGTCCTATTTATAAGACTCAATCTGATAAACTAGTTATTGATTTGTTTCATAACGGCTTTAGCCCTCTCTACAGTGTAGAGGAGGTCGCCTTTTCCAAATGTTTTTGCGCTATGTTCGCTCTTCTTTCATTCGTAAATACTGCCAAGATTAACATATAAATCTTACCTACAGATCTTATAAATCTCTTTTGTACACAATTACACCTGCTCCTTTTGCCCCTTTTTCCCGGTGATATACCACCTGCAATCAAGCTTCCTATGTAAAGCCTGTTCTACATTGATCGCAAGCGCAAACGCAAGGAACAGGTCTGGTAGAATTGACTAATCGTATTGATCAAATCAGCCAATTGACTAGCGTGATTGGTCAATTCTACGAGATCTATACCTTGCGTTTGCGCTTGCGATCAATGTATAACGGGCTTAATGCATAACGTACATGCAGTCTCAGACTGGCTTTTTTGCTCCTCTCGTGCAGGGGCGTGCGCCATAAGCAAAGAAGAAGAAGAAGATAGGACACGCACACTCTAGAGTACGTTCCGTTTCACGCATATGCTCGCATTTATCTATAGTACATGTAACGTATAGTATAGAAAAATGCGCGCATATGCGTGAAACGGAACGCAGCTCTAGGGTGCGGTCAACGTCTCACTGCAAATGTTTCCAAGTATCATTCTATCTTTATTCTACATTTAACGAGAAATAAAGATAGAATGATGCTTCAAAACATTTGCAGTGAAGCTTTGACTGCACAACTAGTCATATCCTATGCCCTAACCTCATCCACTACTTCCGTGCGAATGGCGTATGGACTAAAGGCCATCACACATAAAATTACTTAAGATCACTGAACTCTATATACACTGGAATGCGCATCTCCATCTAACAAGGGGTGTGTTTAGCCGAAGTTAGCGCTACGTAGCGCTACGTAGCGGCTTCATGTTGCAGTTGCAACTGCTGCGTTACTTCTGCTGGACAGTATTGCTACGCGCAGCATGTTCTAAGTAGTGGCCGCCATTTTTGTAAGCAGTTGCAACTGCTACATAAAGCCGCTACGTAGCGCTACGTAGCGCTAACTTCGGCTAAACACACTCAAGCATAGCGAGACGTGGCACAAATTGATCAGCTCCATTTTTGTTTGGCCTGGTATTTGAGCAAATCAGAAGCGCGTTTCCCGCTACAATGTGAATGACGAAGATGAAAAAGTAACAAAATAGAAAAAGTTTCTTCAGAAGTTTCTTGTAGTAAGAAACCTACGTAAAATTAATAAACAAATTAATAAACAAATATGTATAAAAGGACTTTTGCTCGTTAATACGATATAAGTATAAATTTGCCCATTAATACAATGTAAAAACCTACCGTTTTTAAAATAGTAAAAAAGGCACAAAGTACACGCGCGCTTGTTACAAAATATCATTGTATCTTCAAACAAAATGGTTTTATTTTAATTATTAAAAAAATACAAATTATAAAAAATTCAATCATTGTAAAAATTCATTCAATACAATTTCAATTATAAATACAATTCAATACAATTTCATTTCAATTATAAAAAAATACAATAAATGTAGTCAAAAAATATTTGGAAATGGGCCGATATGAAGTCAAATACAGGATGTTGGAGTATGAACAAAATTCTTTATTTATATAATATACGGCTACTTGTTGTAACAAGGTAATCGCTATTAAGGAAATGTTTGGAACATAAAACAGATTTTTTTGTCTCTTTTAAGCTTTCTGGTTTACAATTATGCATTTCCAAAAACGCATATATTCTATCAATCGATTGTTGAGTTCGATTCGGGTCTTTCACTGGAAATCTATATAAAAAATATGTAAATATTTAAGCAATTAAAAATAAAAAGTATGTAAGAATGTAAGCAATAAAAAATATTATTTCTATCTACAACATCCTAACCTAACCTACCGATTTTCATCCTACATTGTTGTTAATACATGCAACTGATATATTTCACACTAAAATCCTTACCTATGAGATGAAATCCTCTTTTCACTTCTCTGCCCACACCCGGGCACACAACATCTCATGTCGCTAACTTGTAGCGGGACCGCGCGTGGAACGCGTTTTCACTTCTCTGCCCACACTCGGGCACACAGTATCTCATGTCGCTAACTTGTAGCGAGACCGTGCGTGGAACGCGCTTCTGATTTGCTCAAATACCAGGCCAAACAAAAATGGCGCTGATCAATTTTTGCCACGTCTCGCTATACTTGTTAGATGGAGATGCGCATTCCAGTGTATATAGAGTTCAGTGCTTAAGGTCACTGAACTATAATATAGAACGCGCCTTCCATTGTTCGAGCTGTCCGCGATAGAGAGCATCACAACTAGGATCTCTGTCTTTGTCTCGTCGTCGCTGATTGGTTGAATTTATACGACTACAGTCTAAGACAAAAGAACAACGAAAAGTAAAGAATGACTGCGTATTAGCAATTGCTGAGCGCTCATATATATAATACTTCTATATTGCTAGTCGCGTATCTTCGCAATGAGAGGCACGAGGCCCGAGAAAGAGAGACGCACGAAGTCCAAATATGGGCATAGATAGTCGAGCGTCATTATGCGCAGGCGCTTCTACTAAGCGAGTGCGAGCGAGACAAAGCATTGGAAAGAACGCGAGAAAGAGAAATGCCCAAACGTGCTTGAATGTTCACCGCATGCGCACAAAGCAGCTGGAGAGAGAGGCTACTATCAG